GTATTTTTATATGTGTAGGTTACAATATTAACAAAATATTTATAGCCTTTTATTAAAGGTTAAGTAATTATCAGCGGTACTAAAAATTTAACAAGTCCAATTCGGATTTATTAGAACTATATTTACGTTTATTACCGCAAGGTTTGTACTGTAAAAAATATTTGTTCAAAAATTATAGAGGATGTCCATAAGCTAACATAAAAAATAAATTACTTGGTTTTGATTCAGTCTGGCAGTCTGAATATAAGTACCTTAAAGCATTTCCTCTACATTCTGGAATGTCCTCAAGTTCGAGACATTTATGTTTCCTTGTCTAAACATTCTCAACATATTTCCGCCCTGACTAATAACTAATATCGGATTGCTTCTCTCAAACATCGCCTGCTTTCAGTGCAGATTATTTGCCACAAACAGATATCTGCGAAATTCGAGCAAACAATTTGAAGATGGTGACCCTGACCAGTGGGAAACTGCTCGGCAGCCTGGGCACGCGGTCAAAAGTAAACAAGGTTATAGCCGTCGCTGCTACTCCAGCTCCTCTCGTATTCCGGAATACATGCAATTTGGAATTCACAAACAAAACATAAAGCAAAGCTGGCCCAAAATGCTCGAGTTTTGTGTACATTTGAGTGGAAGGCCGGGCTAATCTGCATGCAGGGGGAGAGACTCAAGAGCAGACAAAGCTTCAAGGGTCACGGTTCTGGGGATTTCATGAGGCTCTTTTACGGAGCAGGAGAAGGACGAGCGCTTTGTGGTAAATAAATGGTAGCCAGGACAGCAGCCCGGCCAGAGATCCGCTGGCGCTTTCGGCTTAAATACATCAAACAAAAGCATAATCTTAGCCAAGCAGAAAAATACACGCATATACACAGAGAAAAATACTTTTCAATATTTTCCAATAATATTTTAGTATATTTAGTTTCATAAGGAATGTACAGAAGAAAAGAATATAAGCCAATGATTTTTTATAATTTATATTATTTCCAGAGACTATCAGTTTCATAGTTATTAAAGGTATTTCATATAAAAAGTATGGAAAATTTATATATTTAATGAAGGTTAAGGCATTATTAGATTTTTTAAATCAAAGAAACATTCGTAAAATTTTAGAGGAATATTAAATTACACCATAAATATACGTTAAATAAAAGGTTTATTGTTTTATTTTTTATTTTCCCCAACATTGCTCTTTTTTTTCTCTGTGCAAACTTCAATAGAGGAAGGTGGGTGATGAACGAAGGGCACCAGATCGCATAAAATTATACGCGACATTGCGGCCACGTCAAGTAAAATAGATTAATTTTACCTGTGGCCAACGGGCCAGAAGGTTGTCGTCCTCATCCTGATTTTTCCATCCCTCCAACCGTTCACACAAATTAGATTGGCAGGCGACACAGACACACACATACACAGGATACACAGGGACCGGCACTCACACCTTCCTCGGAAAATCTCCTTCGGGCGTAAAGCTTTCTTGCCGCAGTCAAATTAAATAAAATCCAATTTAAAATGAATTTTCGCAATTTCATTTAAAACGGGCAACAGTTTGTAGCGCCGCCGCCGAGTCAGTCGGCAATTTATGCGGCTGATGTCCTCGAGATGGCCCCTCCTACTCCCTCCTCCTCCTTAACCTACCCCTAACCCTCCCTTAACCCTCCGCCGCCTTGCGGTTACCACTTGCTCTTGAGCCTCAAATTGGAATTAACGTTTTTAATGACGGAGCCAGCTTCTGTTTGCCGGGGCGAAAGAGATGCCTCTCAAACTGCTGCACGCACATTCCGAAGGCCCTTTCGCTACCTATAGGTATACACACCCTATATTCCCCTCCTGCCCACCACTCATTAATGCGCTTTTTTATTAGGAAAATCGTTAACTTGAGTTTCCCCACTTAGCGTTTTTGCGTCGAGCTTTTACTTTCGTCTTTATTAAAAACTTTGGCGTCATGCATAAAACTCGTCAGTTTATTGCGATTTTTACACTTCGTTTATGAGCCTGAACCGGGGACCCAGGCACCCGGGCACCAGGAACCTGGTCAGGAGAGGTTGGCCACTAATCCGCTTGTTTTTCATAATCCTTACGCCACAGGCAACGTAAAGGCCAGGACCAATGTGCAGCCGTTGGAACAACAGCACCAAAGTGCAAAGTGGCTGGCGGAATTTATTTCATTTTTATTAAAGACGCCGGGGTGGAAATGCGTGGATGGGGCTGGAAAAGTGGAAGTGGAATTGGGAGGCAGGGTGAATTGGTGGTGACACGCGTGGCTTGTCAAAGCCATGAACAGCTGTTGCCTTTGGCGGGCTAGGAATATGTGTGGACATAATTTGCTCTCCTTTTTTCCTGCCTGCCTCCATTGCGTCCATTTTTTGTGGTTGTGAGAAATTATTTTTGCAATGTGGCCGATGAAAGTTGAGGGGTAACTTGTGGTGGAAAAGTATGTTGTCCCCGCAAAGTTCGGTTTTTGTTGTAGTGGAAATTCAGGGTAAAGTTTAGTTCAAAGGGCGGAATGTGACAGGTGAAAAGGACCGACCACAGTTAGAATAGATGCAACTTCTAATGCTACACACAGAAAAAAACCCCGCCGGGATCAAATCAATATGCGCATGGTAAATTTCTGGTAACTAACAACTATTCTCTCAATACAAAATAGAGCGGGATAGCGCTTAAAGTTACATGAGTGGGAGGGAGAAAGACACATTCGAAATTCGAACCTATAACATGTTTATATTTCGAGAATTTCGAATTGATATGCCGCATATCAAGTCAAAATTGATACAACATAGCATCAAATCCATCAAGTTTTTTTTGGGTGTAGAATCACCAAAATACACAAAATTACCCAAAACTAACCATAAATGTTATAACTATGTTAGAACTATGGCTGTATTTACGAGATCCCAAAAAGAGTTAGGCCAATCGCAAGCCACCGAAACCAAAGCCTAACTTTTAGCCAAGCCACAAAACAATCTAAACATTTTACCCTCCACAGCCTGACAGGTATCCATTTCCCGTGGAAAATCAGGCTAATGACCTATTGTGCCAACTGTCCATGGACAACTTTATTACGCTGACGTGCTGAAAAATCTCCCGACCATTACTCAAGCCGTTTTATTGGCTCCTTTGGCGACTGACCCCCGCTGTCAACAAGACGGCCTGACAAATAAAGCCGACCGCCCAGCTCTCCGGAAGGAAGAGTGAAGATGATGCGGCAGAAGACGAAAACCGTCCATCCGCAGGCTTGAATTACCCAAAAATTGGCGGGGAAATGCGAGAATGCGAGAATCATCAGTCTGCTGCGAGGCCGCAGGTGGTGTTCTTTGTTAAACTTGAAAAATTATATTTTATTCGCCGGGCCCCGCTGTGCGCTGTACTGATTTCGCGGCCCTTTTCCATCGGCATTATGGGTCTGAATCTCTTTCTCATTCTGATTTCGGGTAAAGGGGAAAGGAAAAACTTTTGCTGCGTCGCGACGCGGCCTTATTTCGCTTCCCTTTTTTATAACAATGGTAAACAAGGGAACCTGGAATATCTCTGGGCATCTTTGTGAATAATGATTTGCCACTTGGGAGCATTTGTAAATTAGATGCTGCTGTGTAGCTGCTGTTTGTCCCGTAGCGCAGTTTGCTGCCGGCGACAGCGTAAATATTTAATTTGCGAGATATTCCGAGCGGAAGCCCGCCGACTAAGTTGACCTTTGACTTGTATTTCCCCATTTTTTCATCCGTTATTTTCAGAAGCCATCATCATTATGCCCATTGTTGTCGCTGGCCCGGTTCGGGCAAGGGTTGTAGCATTTTCCATTATTTTCATTATTTTCAGTTACTCGCGGCTCTCAACATTTTCGGACCGCCGCCTGCGCACTTGACTCAATAATGAGCCAGTTAATTGAGGTGACAATTGTTGGGCACTCTCGAGAGACTCGGTGCTTTGGCTCTTGACTCATAGCATTTTGATCATTTTATGCACTCGAAAGGCAAATCAAAATCAACCCTTTTGAGAAATGATTTAATGCTTTTAGATGGACAAAGCATTCTGTCGGAAGGTGAAAGTCGGGGACTTCTTTGGAAATTTATTAAATTACTCAGACGAGGGTTCGTGTTGGGCGCTTCCTGAAGGGATTGGAAGGACAAATTCGTTGGGTTGTAACAATGTTTTGTTAGTTGTCAGTTAATATACAACGACTTGAGAAATATTTTGATTTTATATATAATTTCTATATTCTTGGGACAACTAAGATTTTCAGCTGCATAAAATTTGGGAAATATTTATTTTTATTTCATTAAATGTCTGATTCAATTTAAATATTATGCGCTATGTTGTTCATCTATTGCCGTTTTTATTAAAATTAAATATAAAAATATTCAATGGAAACCTTAAATTTAATATGAAATCCCTTTTTTTTCTGTGTAATAATATTATTTTCAGATTGACTTCCGAAACACATTGTAGTAATACATTTTTTCAAATTGTTTTTTATGCGAAAGGAAATAATTTAGGCTAATCCCGGTTTAGTGGCGCCTAATGCCCGCCTTTAAATTTATAGAGCCGACTCACCTGTCCGCCTTCTTGACACCTGACCACATGGCCGCCGAGACAGGCGGCATGAACCGCAAATTGCCGACCGGCGGCGAGGCGTAGGGGATTCCCCGGTACGCCTCGACCGGATCCAAGTGCCTGCCATCTAATTGGACAATTACGCCCGATATGGCGCCGTTGCGTGTGTGTATAATCCGCGACGATAGCTGGGCGGGTAATTGATCGTGATTCGGGTTGGAGTTCGAGTTCGAGTTGCTGCTGCTGCCGGTGGGTCTTCCACTGCGGTTGCCACTGGATCCGCTGCTACTCGTGGCAGAGGAGCTGCTCGGGGAGGACGAGGACGAGCCCGCCGACGAGGATGAAGTGAGGGATAATGAGGGCACGGAACTGGAAGTGGCGCTGCTGGAGCCGATCAGCACGAGTCCGCCATTATTCACCGAAGAGGGACTCTTTTGCGATGTGCTCAGGTTGCCGCTGTTACTGCTGTAGCTAATGCCGGCCGCCGTGGATCTGGATACGACTATATCCAGGACCACCAGAACCAGCAGAGACGACCACGCCCATCCGGACCGCCTCCGTCTCGTGGGCGGCACTTTCCGCCGCGTTCTCGTGGGATTTGCTGCTGATGGCGGGAGTGGTCGCTTCGAGTGCAGCAACATAACCATTATTATTATTGGTCAAAATGGCCACGTCGCAATGTTGTCCTTGTTTTTCCGATAACTTGATGTCCGACTGCTGTTTTATACTCTTTCCCCCGCGCTCCTCTTGTGTAATTGACCACAAGATAGCTGTTTGTGGCGTGGCCTGCTTTTCGCTTTGCTCGTTTCGGCAAGGACTCACACTTTGTATGTCCGTTTTTAATTTAATTTATTTTTTGTTTGCAAAATATATGGCAGTTTAAGTGAACTGGAAAGAAAAACAAGTACAATTAAATGTAATTAGTGCATTTATATTTAATATTTATAAAACGTAAAAAGTGATGTATGAATATCAAAAAACCCTAACAAACTTAAATCTGTTAATTTAAAAAATTATTAAAAATGTTTCCGGTCTTATAAGTATATTGTTTAAAAATATAATATGAAACCGCAGTTTCTGGGATGTTTGTTATAGTTTACCCTAAATCCTTAAAACTTTATCTGACTTAAGTTTAAGTCCAAATTCTAAAAAACCTTTTTCTGCATTCTTCATTTGGGCTCTTCTGCTCTCTTGAAGGCAATTCCGCCGAGTATGTGCCTTGAAGCGTTTCATTCGGTCCTCACTGCCTTTTTTTTGTTGTCTTTCTAGAGGCATTTTCCCAAAAAGAAAGGGGTATTGCAAAAATGGGCAAAGAATCCACCCGTCCACTCGTTTGCCCTACCCCTTTCCCCATCTTGTTTTTGGTATGTTTGCCAGCTGAAGCATCACCTTGTTTGCACTTGGTGTAGTGTCCTTGCCCTTGTTGTAGTCGACACAACAACAAAGGAACCATGGGGTTTTTGGGGATGGGAGTGGGTGGAGAGATCGGAATCGTGGGGTGGCAGGGACAGTTGGCATTTTGCATATGCCAGACATGTCAGTCTAGCAGGCAGGCAGGCAGAGCCGAGACTCCTGACAACACGAGGAGAAAGCCTACGTGGAATGACTAGGAAGTGGGGCGATGGGGGGTTAAGGCGCAGGGAACAAAGCTGGAGGCTTTTCATTGCCTGACTGGTGACATTGGGTCATTGGATCAACAATTCGAAGGAGCCAAACGAAGGATGTGGGCATCCCGATAAGCAGATTTTGATGAAAGGCTTATGGAAGGATTTGTTTTGGGGTAGCTTAAATTCAATGAAAGAAAAACTAATGGATCAGTTGCACTCAGAACCCATTTCATAAAAGTAATACACTGAGCTGTTTCTACAAGATAGGTATTTAAAAATGGAAAGCATATAATGATTATGAAATATAATGATTTTTAGTTTTTTAATTTTACTCAATCAAGAAAAAATAAAATAATAATTAATGTTAGTTGTTTCCCAAAGAAGACCAGCCTTACTGATGATCCCAGCAGCTGGGAGCCAGCTGCTCTGCCCCCTGAAATACCCTTTTTTTTCCTTCCACCTCCGCCAAGGAAAGTATTTTTATTCAGCTCGCACTTACTTATTCCGTGCGTTGGCTCTTCTGCTGTCTGCGGCTCGAGTGCAGGTGCTAAGCCCTTCTGTCGTGCATGTGCGTTGGATGCTGGATGTGGGATGTCCTTGCTCCTGGCCCTGCTCCTTCGCGCCCTACTGCCGCTGCTTGTTGAGAATCACTTCACGTACTGCTCGCTCAGCCGCGTCGTCTGCTGCTGCTGCGTTTTCTGAATGCCGGCACGCTACAATTGTCATGCAAGCGGACATTCTCCGCGGAGACGTTCACGTACTCAGCGCTGAGCAGGATTCCGAGGACGAGCAGGGGGGCTCTAGTTGAGGTCCTTCCATGGCGGATGAGGCTGCAATCGGATCAGAGAGATGGCACACTTTATTAGACCTTTCATTGGCTCGTGCAGCACTTAAACTATGCTTAATAATTAACCCGGCACGCGCCATTTGCGTATTCAGAGGGCAAACAGTTTGTCTAAGACATTAATAACTATGGAAGCCACTGGGTTATTCGGACATTTTAAAAGAAATTGAATATGTACCAAACATGAAAACCTTTGAAAGAGTTTAAAAAGTAAATATTTATTACGTTTTCCATTTAATTTTGAATAAACTAAGATACAAAGAGAATAAGAAATTACTTGCTATTTGAACTTTCAACTTTTTCACTTATTGGAATATTATATAAAAGGTTATTAATGAAATAATCACATCAAACACAATCTAAGATTATCCTTACAGCCCCTTCTGCAGGGTATTAATTGAATCAGTGACTCGGAGCTGGTGGAAAATTTTAATTATATGATGCCCTCAAGTGTAAGTAAATTATTATGCAGATCATTAGCAAAGTAATTAGACTCGGCTGCCGCTCCGCCCATAATCCTCGGCTCACTAGTTGAATTAATTGTATTCGTGGAAATTGAGATATCCCCACATTCCATCAAAGCATAGCGTTGGCGTTCGCCGGCTTGTTGGTGCTATTCATTTATTATGCGAATTTCGACTACATTTTTCGCATATAATTTCCCCCAGGCAAAGACCGGGACGTCGAGTCACATAAGTAAACAGAGGGCAGGCCAGAAGGGATTTTAGAGTGCGAGTTCCTTAGTTTGCTCAACAAATAACGTCATCAAGTTGTCCGCAGCAGTAGTGACTTTACTTAACTTCACTTCGGCCCACTCCGTGGTAAACATTGTAAATCATACGCACTGTTGCACAGACGCTTTGTTTTATTTTGCCATTGTGATTGCGAACGAGTTAAGAGCCCGTCACGCTGCGTTGGAATTTTCAAGTAAAAGAGGGTGACAAATATACAAATATCCATTTATTCGTCCACCATCAGCCGACGTCCGGCTTTAACATTTCCGACTTATACTTACTGCTTTTAAGGAATTGAAAGAAGTCAGGCCAGGACCATCCTCAAACGCACTCAAAGATTCTACGTACACAATAATGCCGCCTTATTACATGACAGGAAAAACATCTCCAACTTTGCCGTTTCTTCCCCAAAAATTCTTGCCGAACTTTTTGGACTGAAAACAAAAAGTTGTCAAAAGTTCAAATTTGTATACAACTTGTATATGTGCGCAAGTATTCGAAATGACTTTATTCACATTTGTAATTTGTATCTCGGCTCTCGAAGAGATAATTGGATTCGAGAGTGTTTTCATGTTGTTTGCCTAATTTAATTGCAAATAAACGAAACGAAATTCCAGTTTGTGAAATACTTTTGCTTTAATTAAAAATCAAAACGCGATAAGCGGCCCAGGGAATTGCTATGGAAAACGTTTTATCATGGAAGGTCGGGGAATTATATATCCAGCAAAAGCTGAAAGTAGTCTCTTGACTTTGCAACTGGCCGCAATTTCCGCCTTGCCGCAACTTTTTCTGCGCTCTTTGCGCCATAAATTCAGCGCCAGCTAGACGGAACATCCGCATTCGCATCCGCACTCGCATTCGCATCCGCAGCCTCAGTTATTTTACCCAGTCCGAGGGTCATTAATTTGTCTTCTGAGGTGGAGGCGAGGGTGGATGAAAGGGCATTTCGGACGAGGAGCAGTCCTTGCCGCCGAGGCATTAAACTGCTTAAGTAGCACAACTAAATTAAGAATTGTGGGCCGGGCAATTAGATAGGAGGCCGAAGGAGCAGGTCGGACAATGAGCAATAAAGTTCAAAGTTAGGTCAATCCTTAGGTGTAATGGATATTTGTTTGCTCCGATTTTTTCAGCCATAATCTGTTTTCTCCAAAGGGAACTCAAAGGGCTACACAAAGAAAAAAGTCTTGGTGAAAAAAATGTTATTCTGTATTCTTAATATCAATATTAGATCATTTAATCAGTATTAAATATTCAGATGATATGAAATATCATATATATTTATAAAAATTACTCAAATTACATGACAAATAAAAGCACATTATTTTTTCTCTCTGTGTGATAAACTAAATGTAAGTTAAAATCGTTGAAAGACGCCAACGATGCGTATGCTTTATATTCAATGCTCCCATTTCGATGGCCGTATGTGCAGAAAAATTGCTTCTTTATAGTACATATATCGATTGGAACATTCGCAGACTTGTATTTCCGGAAATTTAATCAGTTTTGGTGCTTAACCGAGTTGTGGAAGGCAAACGGAACGAAAGAATCTTCACAAATATAAAAAGAAATCCCAGTCCAAAGGCAAAGCAACGGCAAAGGAATGCCAGGACAGCGGTAAAAAGGGCAGGAGATAGGAGGGAAAATTGTTTAGCAGTTGTCTGACTGGAAATGGAAATGAAAATGTTTCTGACTTACTTGCCTTGGCATTGTTATTTGAGTTTATTGAAATGACTGTCTTGCCTTCCCCTGCTTAAGTGGGTATGAAAATACCCATGTAAAGGCGGGAAAAACGGAGGGAGATAGTGGAGAATGGAAATGGTTATGTAATAAGTATGTATTTTTAGTTGTGTCTCTCCATCTCTGGGCATGGACTCTCTCTGAATTTTTTTACAATTATTTTAGAAAATACCTCCGACCGCAAAGAGTAAACTAACAGTATTCAACACATGACTCCCGGGAAAACTATTGTTTTTGCATAAAGCTTCGTCTGATAAAAGCAAAAAGAGACCAGAGAGGAGACAGATACTCGGACCAACTCAAACTGTAATTTCTCATGCAAATTTATGCAAAAATGTGAGAAATTCGCTGCAAGAAAATATGAGCGAAAAATGCAATCTGGAAAAGAGTTAAAACCAAAGGAGAACGGAAAAAAGCCAAGTATTAAGTGGGATGGAGAACTTTCCAAGTGATGGGAAATAATGCGACTTTTTAACTACGTTTTAGTTTAGCCAAATGCATTTTGCATGTCAGAGTTCGTCTCTTGATAATAATATTCGAGAAGAACTCTCCGACTTTTTATCTGCGTCTCTTCATTGCCTTAATGGGCTGCCTCCTTTTGCCGCGTTTTAGGGTTTCATTATGTTGACTATCCGACAAACAAAGGCTTATAATTTTTTGCTCGCCCACGTCCCTTATTTATGTATGCGAGTACACAACTTCTCGCCTCTTCGACTGGGCTCCGCCCTCTGCCTGCAAAAATGGCTAAAACAATGGCTTTACAAAACAACGAAGACAGAAATTAAACCGACTTTCATCAGGAAGAGCGCAACTGACAAGTCAACGAGGAAAAAAAAGAAGCTTCTCTGGCAAGTGGTGGGGATAAAAAATACTTGGCGGAAATTATAATCCATCTGCATTTTTAAAATAAAAATATAATGGGGGAAAATAGTTTCTGGCTGCAGGCTTAAAGCAGCTTAAAAGTGTATTTAATATTAGCATAAGTGGCTACATAAAATTAAATATGCAAAATGAAAGAATGAATTAAGTGCAAATGGAAAACGGTACTTATCTCTATGCAAATGGTGTACTCGTTAATTTTTCATTTCCAATTTTAACTTGACGGTCCTTCAAAAGATATGAATAATTTATTTGTTTAAATAGTCAGCGTGCATTAATCAGAAGCAAGGAAATCTTTTACAAAAATTCGACCAATTTTAAATTTGGCACTCGACGGAAAAGTCAATCACAAAATGTTTAAAATATGCAAAGTTGTTCGACGTTTGGAATCCTTCGAATGAGATACACATGAATTTATCCTTGGGCCAAACATTAGCTAAAGCAATAAATTGTTCGCACAATTGGGCCGGAAAATGCATGGAAAATTAATTTTCCTCTGATTTTACAATTCTCATCCCATACATGGCATAAATTTAGCGCTCGCGGCTAACAAATTTCGAAAGCAAATTTTCGACGCAGTTAGAAATAAATTATCGTTTAATATTGGCAAATAATACGATACCCAGGGACTCCTGGCCCTCTTTCCAATCATTCCTCTGTGTTTTCGGCCTTGCCAGAAATTCGCAAATTGAATTCGTTATTCGGCGTCGCATGAAATAATTTTGCCTTGGGAGGTCACCAGCAGCAAATGACGAAATAATGATATTAAAGCAACATTACGCCATTACGTAGCAACACACATGCAAAAATAATTGACGACAATGACGTAGGCGACATACATACATTGGCGAACGAAGACATTGCGCATACGCCGCGTAAGCCAAGCCAGACTAAATAATGAGGCTAGAGGGCAAAGCCAGCCAGAGTCGGCAAAGTCAAGGCGTGGAGCTCGTAGTCATCGTACGTATAAAGGGATAGACTTTGGCGTAACCTGTAAAATAATTAATTTTCCATTTTCCCCGCTCCTAATGATCTAAATAAACAAAATAAAATAACTAACCAATATTTTTTCACCATGTAAATATATGTAAAAAATATATTTTATAGTTTCCTAACCCGAACCCCAATTTTCACACCTTTCCAGCGATTGTTACGCTACAATTGCCATCTCTGACCCACATTTTCGAATAATTTATTTCGAGTTCCTATCTTCCTGCCAGTCCATCACACTTAAGGCGACAATTTCGAATGAAAATCAATTTGCACCGCACACGCCAAAGGACACAGGCCCGAAATATTCATCCCGGCTGAGCGCGTTAGTCTTAATTAATTTCCACCCACGCCAAAGCAGCGCCCTTGGCTTTGTTCGGGATTACTTTTACTAGTTGTGGCATGGAACTAGATGCTCTTTGGGGTATTTTAATGACGTTTTCATAAACAGCCGCCGCCATTCTGTGTGTCTGTCAATGCGTTCCTAATTCCATTTTATGCCACGTGGCTCGGCCTCCATTCGGCGTATTTGTTTTTGTTTGGCTGAAATGGCAGATAAAATAATTTATTGGGTAAAAATCGCTGGCCAAGAGCTAAGCACTCTGGTTTCGCCAGGGTTTTTTTCTCCTTCGCCTGCGTTGTCCTC